ATCTGGGCAATAAACCCTTCGTCTCGACCTGTGAAGCTAAGCTGTGGGACGAGACTTGGGACGGTGGCGCTGGTCAACACAATTTACAGTGGCAACCTTGAGTCTGCAGAACCTGGAAAAGAAACGGTTAGTCCCTGCAGCGGCGACGTAGCTGAAAGGAAAGAAACGATTAGTGCCCGCAGCGGCGACGTAGATGAAAGGAAAGAAACGGTTAGTGGCCGCAGTGGCGACGTAGTAGCTGAAAAGGAAATGGTTAGTGCCTACAGCAGAAAGATGCAGATTCCTTTAAAACTTGAAGGAGCAGTTGACCGTGCCCACAGCAGCGACGTGGGGTATCTGAGATACAGGGAGAATATTGGTGAATCTTCTGAGGAGTCTAAGGGTCTAGATGAACAGTCTTGTGAGGCGATTGGTGCCAGGGTTGACAGACATCCTGTCGAAGATTCCTCTACAGACATCGAGTACGACTCCAGATTTCCAGATTTTGGATGATATAAGTGAGGAAAGTGACGTAGACCTAGAAGGCAGTATTATCTCCCTTGATAGCCCTGTCCCTAGTGTCTGACTAAAGACCCATCTTGAATCAAATGGGTTACTTGCTACTATCATGGATGCGTGTAACCGTTCTTGAGCTAGCAGGAATAACGGATGGTGGAGCAGATTTGGGCACACACCCGTTGGTATGAATGCCGACTCTCAGCAGTGTAGCTCTACGACAGGAGCACGTCCTAAACAAGGATATTGGTTGCGATCGCATGGCCCTATTCCTGAACATGAGTGCTAGTGAATGTGCCGTTTAGTGAGTAATTATTTTCGATAAGTGCTTAAATAGTATTCGAGATGCAGTACATTTTGAAAAATGAAGTTTATCCTAAAGCCATAAATCAAACTCTAAATTTGGAAAGATTAGTTTACTAATGCCACAAGTTTAAAGCAGCTAGTGATACTGACATTGTAGTTTTGTATTTGTTTTGTATTTGTATTGTTCTTGTGTTGATATAGCTGTTTATATTGAGATATGATATATATTGTGATATATTTGGCTATACATTAACCGTTTTCCTGTGCTCATATGTGTTACCTTGTGGTTGTATGGTTTGGCAGCTTGTGTAAACCACGTCCAGCTCCACATACACCTTAGCTTTAAAAGCATGTAATCGGGCACAGGCCTTCCTTTTCTTCTGCTTCCAGGTCGTCTCCACTGACGCTCCGACCCCATGGCATTGGAGGGTTGTGAGGTCTCCAGCCCTCCTCCCCCCCCTCCCCGATCCTGGACTGTAACCCCTCCCCCCCTTATCTTCCTCACCCTTGCTTCCCTTAGTCTCCCCTACCTCCCTTTTGCTGTAGTCTCCCCCTTTACCTTCTTCTCCAACCTTTTCCCCTTCTCTCTCTCCCTCTTCTCTTCACGTATCATCCTGACACTTGTACCCTATTTGCTCTACCTTCTATCCTTCGTCTCTCCTAAATCTCTCAATCTAGTTTTCTTCTCTTCCCCGTTCCTTCGTTATACATTCTTATCCTTCTCTCGTTTTCTTTCTCTCATTCACTCCTTTTGTTCATTTTTTTCTCTTCTCTTCTCCTTTGCTATTTACGTTCTTCTGTGTCTTTTTCTTTCCCTTTTTTTGTGTTTAATGAATGTTTTTTCTTCTGTGTCTTTTTCTTTCCCTTTTTTTGTGTTTAATGAAATGTTTTTGAATAACTGTATAGTTCTGTCTAAATAACTGTTGCCACAGTGACGTGGCCCAACCTTTGCTATTTACGTTCCTCTGTACCTTCCCCCCCCCCTACTAATCTCTTTCTCGCTTTCTACTTTTCTATTCCCCGTTAACCTCTCGCTCATTTCTTTCATTTCCATCTCTCAGCTCGCTTGAATTTCTCTCCTCTTCATTCTTTTCCTTAAGCTTTCGTCCTCACACCTACCCCCTATCCTCTACCCTAATATCCTACCTATCCCCTCGACACCCTTAACCCATTGCTTCCTGTTGTCAACTGAACAAAAATGGGGAAAATTCTGTCCTTTTTTTTTTTTTTTTTTTTTTTTTTTTTTTTTTTTTTTTTTTTTTTTTTTTTTTTTTTTTTTTTTTTTTTTTTTTTTTTTTTTTTTTTTTTTTTTTTTTTTTTTTTTTTTTTTTTTTTTTACTCATTTTTTATTTTTTTGTGAAATATCTCTGCCCATAGATGGCTCTGCTAGTCCTGATTTCACCTTTCCTCGAATTGGCGGGAAAAAACGTATTCTTACTAGTGCTATAAATATAGATGGTGTTATTTTTAACAGCAAATTAGGATAATGTTAAATATTTTCGTAAATCGATGACAAGGGTGAACGGGCGAGACAGACAGTACTCGTAATTGGCTCATTGGATACTTAGTACAAGTGTAGCCATCTATGTGTAAAAACAATCGAACAAGTCGACTTACAGTGGGCATGGCACGTACGTACATGCCATCCCCGGCGGCAATGGGTTAATTCCCGAATCCCGAATCCTGAATCCCGAACCAACTTGGGTAATCCAGCGGGCGGCGCTCAAATACGCTGGAGACGATTCCTGTACACACACAACACGGCTACATTGTATTGCTGCCAAACCCTGTATTGATGATAATTGTATGAATAAAACTTTACATGCAACTGTTATTATTTCCCGTTTCCTTCTTTGAGCTCCAGTGCTCCGAATCAGTGAGGTGGCTTATTTTTTTTTTTTTTTTTTTTTATCGCTTCATTTTGTTAGACGCAATCTTTTAAGGGTAGATGGGGATCTTTGTTTTCTGTTTCATTTTCTTATGTATTTACTTTTTAATTCTTAATGATTTCAATTTTTTTATTTATTTATTTATTTTAATACCGGATCCCTCCCCTTTTATTTTACTATTTTCATTTTGCGTTTTAGGATTTTACATCCTTTTAAAACTTACTCAGATTTTCAGTTTTATTATCAATCACTTTTATTAATCTCCAATAATTGTTTTATGACTTTGGATTAATTATTTTTATATATTTCAATCCTGCCACGTCACCACCTTAATTACAGTTTTTATTTATTAATGGAGCCTCACAGGGGATACTCGGGATAGGGAACGTATCATTAATAACTTTTACCGTGTTGTGAATTCTGTTTTGCTACTCAAATGTATCCCTTTATCTGTTTTACTTACTGTGTTCTTAACGTTTTGCTAATATTTCTAATGTTTCATTTTAGAGGGTTTTTCACCTGGTTGCTTTGTCTTTTTATTGTTACTTGTTGTTAGTTAACCTTTTTTTTGTGTTTAATGAAATGTTCTTGAATAACTGTATAATTCTGTCTAAATAACTGTTGCCACAATGACGTGGCCCAACTGTATAAATACCCCCGTGAAATAAACCCGGAGGGAGTTGTCTCTGGACTCGGTGTTTGTGTGTACCCCTGGATTACCCTATACTGTGGCGTCGCTGGAGCAGCAAGACAAGGTTGTGTTTGAGCCAACTTTTACATGCTAGATAGGATATTGCTGGACGTGGGCATTGAAATGAAGTTTTACGAATTTTTACATTGGCCAGCACCAGCCAGAGATACCCCATTCACTTTTAAAAACTTAGTTTTTACGTATCCGTTCCTTCAGAACGAGCTTTCTATTCTTATTGTATTTATATTTTTATTTACCCATGGTGCTTTGTTCTTTTCTACTTTTTGTTTTATTAATGTAGTCAAGAATCACACAGCCAGACCCATTTTCTAAGGGATGTGTACCTGGGGCATGGGACAGTGACTCCTCACGGGGGAAGTGAACGGGCCCCCTCTATCCTTCTTTCGGCCCTAAGCCCCTCGACAGAAAGCCTTACAATAGACACACACACATATATGTATATATATATACACACACATATATGTATATATACACACACACAAATATATACACATACACATATATATACACACCTTACACACACACACACACACACATATATATGTATATATGCATATATACATATAATTAATTACATAGATACACACACACACACACATACATACATATATATATATATATATATATATATATATATATATATATATATATATAATTATATATATATATATATATATATATATATATATATATATATATATATATATATATATATATATATATATATATATAATTATATATATATATAATTATATATATATATATATATATATATATATATATATATATATATATATATATATATAGGTATAAATATACTGCCGCGATAGCTCAGTGGTTAGAGCATTGAACTCCCGGGTTCAATTCCCCGCCTACGCTCTGACTGCTGACTCGAGCCCGAGAAAACGACATATCGGCTTGAGAAGTCAAACGCAGGTGTCGTAGGGGAACTCACCGCCGTGGCACAAGTGTTAACGCGCCGAACCGCGGTTGATTAGGAAGGGCATTCAATCAGGCAAGGGTGACATCGCCATATAACCTCTCAATACTGAATTGAGAAAGGCCTATGTCCTGCAGTGGAATGAATGGCTGTTGAAAAAAAATATATATATATATATATACAAAATATATATATACAATATATATATATATATGTGTGTATATATATAGATATATATATATAGATATATATGCTGTATACACATACACATATATACACACATGTATATACATCTATGTATATGTCTATACTTGTATATGAACATATACATGTATATATGTATACATGTACATACACAAACATATATATATATAGTATGACTAGTGCCAAAGCAACCATACCACACGACCCACTAAAAGGAGTGTGCCCACCGGGAGTGTGTTAGATCCTAGTTGCACACTTCTTTTAGTTGGTCATGTGATATAGTTTAAAACTGGTCCTCCGGTTCATACCTGAAGCGACCTGGGTTCGAGTCCTGTCCAGGGAGAAGTGTTATTTATGTATATGTATGTATATATATTCCTTAGACTGGCATTTTGAAAATAAGCTTGTTTTGGGTATGATGAATTTTCTGCCAAAGAACGTAAAAAAATCTTAC